GCCCACATTTTGCAAGAGATGGATAAAGAACAAGCTAAAAAAAAACCTCGATTTTTGTACAATCAGGGGCCATAATTGTGGGGGATGCTCGATTATCAGTCAATAAAGTTCCGAATTAAAGGAATTTCAATCGAATGACGCGGAATTGAGTCATGGCACAGTTCTGTCAGTCGCGACATCGGAGGTGGTGTGAGTAGAATCGTGCCATAATTAAAGCTAATGAATATGTTTCAGCTATCATGGTTGGTTGAGATATTTTCTCATGCTGTCAGCACATGCGTTCTAGGCCAAAATCCCATTTTCACTCAATTGTCACTATTTCTGGGTTTGACAGAATTCAATCCCGGAGGTTCAATCGAGCATCCCCATGGTCTGAAATGCGCGAATATCGAAAGGGATTGAGATCTTTGGGATATAAACATATATTTTAAGTTTTATCAAAATCTGACAAAAATTGTGACCTCCAGAGGGTCCCCAACCTCGTATTACATACTTGTACACAATTTGCGTACAAAGAGCGTCCGTTTCGTCGGGCAGTTTTGGCCCGATTTTCACGAAATTTCAACTTAACCGACATTAGGGTGTAACCGTGATACATTTAAACGTATATTAAAATCGGATTTAAAAAAATGTGACCTCTAGAGGGTCCACAGACTAAACACGTGATTTTTCGTACAACCAGGGGCCATAATCTAGGCAGTTACGGTTCGAGAGTGTCCACAACCTTGGTATTACATACTTTTACAATATTTGCGTACAAGGAGCGGCCATTTTGTCTGGCAGTTTCGGTCAGATTTTTACGAAATTGATCCGTAACGGTGATATATTTAAACTTTTTTTAAAATTGAATACAAATTGTGACTTCAAGCTAAAAATGCGATTTTTCGAACAATCAGGGACCATAATCCTGGACGTTACGTTCGGATATATGCGATTATCAAAAGGAAAGATCTTAGCGATATAAACATAAATTTAAAGTTTCGTCAAAATCAGATCAAAATTGTGGCCTCTAGAGGGTCTACAACCTTAATATACTATATTTTTACACTATTTGCATACAAGGGGCGGCCTTTTTGTCCACCAGTTTTGGTCCGATTTTCATGAAATTCTCACTCAACTGTCATCGGGGTGTAACGGTGATGTATTCAAACGGTTTTTTTTCAAATCGGATAAAAATTGTGACCTCTAGAGGGACCACAATCTAAAAACACGATTTTTCGTACAATCAAGGGCCATAATTCAGGAAGTTACAATCTGATATGCGCGAATATCGGAAGGAATGAAGATCTTCTGGTTATAAACACGGACAGGGGCGACGGCATAATACGTCCACATGAAAACCGGTGATTGAATTTACAAATATATAAGATCCGCATTCTTATTTTATAAAACAGTGTCAGAGCACGCAGAGCACATAAAGTGAAACAGCTTCTCTATAGCCAGACAATGGCTTACTTAACTTGTCATTAAATGTTTCTTACGCTTATAAGTGGAATAAAGAAAAGATTTCCAAGCTAGCATATCTAAATTTCTCTGTTTTAGAACAGCAATTATTTCTAGTTTCCTATTTGAAGTGCTATCGGAGCTAAGACACCTTCAAATAGATTTTATACTGTCGTTTTTGTAGTGTTTCAAGTCTTTTAAATCTTTATCCGTAACGTCCATGTTTTGCCCTACTTCCCAAGCGATGGGCGAGGAAAGAGGTGCTCAAAATGACATCTTTGCTTTAATAAACATAGTCGAATTGGCTAATCTTTAAACGGGCGTTTTTTTTTTTGGGGGGGGGGGGTATATTTTGGGCAAGTTCACGTCACTATAAGCTTTGCTCACTTTGGTATCTGGATTTAGAGTTAGGACTTTGTGTACTATAATTTGTAATGCTTGTGCCATCTGCGCTTGACCGCGCTGTATTAATGAAGAGTCTGGTCCAACAATCCAAATACAAACTATATATTAATTAACGCCCTGATATAATATGGAACTTTAATATAACACACATGAATATTTCAAATTCTAGATCACGTACCAAGATCAAAATAAAATTATCTTGAACAGTTTTCCTCGGCTTAAGAAAATGTTCACCCACCCTTTCGCCATTCATTATTTCACAGGCAATTTGATTGTAAGGATATAAAATATTAATTCTGTCAATCAAAGAAGATGTGATACAAGTCGACTGGTATTAATAAAGTTAATTGGCTAGAGTTAATATATAATACGTGAACGAGTTCCTTCAGTCTATAAAGAGAAATTCCATCGATAATTCTTATCCGTAACAACTTTGTAATCATCAGCGGAAAACCTGTTTGAGAAAATGAGAGTAATTGCCGAGCATAGCTAGATCAAAATCATTTGCGACTTTCTCAGCCCCGTATCTTATTCTGTATGTAAAGTAAATGTTTGTTGACTACTAGAGGTAAGTAAAGTGAAAGGTATCGAGTGTATCGAATATCCAACAGATTGATTGCGAAAAAGTCTTAAATTTTATTTTTATCAAATAGATTGAGTAATACCCAAATGCTTGCTGGACTTCTGGACGAATTGGCTCGACTTTTAGTCAACAACCCATACATATTTCCTTTAAATCTCCCTTTAAAACTTTCTGACAGCCATGCACATTTTCAAAGAAAAGTTCTACTAAGGAGAGAGGGTGGGGGTATATTGATGCTACTAATGTTGGAAGAAATGGACAGTCCAAAAATATAAATAACCATCCTTGGTGATATGTCTCTTTACACAAAAAAGGTTATCTGAACATTTAGATCCAAACCAATTAAACACCAAAGCTTAGTTCAAAGAATTTTTGTACTACGTGAACATTGTAAAGTAAAACAAAAATGATGTCCAGATTCATAAAACATTTAGTACTCTTTATTAGTTTAAACGAGTTCGTCTTTTAGGTGTAAATCTGTAATTTAAATATTAAATTGAATTAAAATAAAAGGGATTGAAATAGATGTGCTATGTCACGTAGTACATTTCTTGGTGCAGTCATAATAAAATATACATGTTTTGAAATATAAATTATGTTTTCTGTAATTTCTACAAAAATCAACCGAGAAAAGAAAAAATTCAATGATTATCCTTGTAAATTGAATTTTATAATAACATCACACGTATACATTTTATTCCTAATCACATTCTAAATCAAATATCTAATCGTATTCACTGATTGTAAGGGTTGGCAGGTTATAAAGATTATAACACTGTAATATATTTCTATATATAATAATGTAGATAGTTCAAGGCGAGTTTTCCAAAAATGTGAAAATAAGATTTCTAATATACACCACCTCTAAGTTTCTCAATAGACATGAAAGACGGCACAAAGTTTTCTTAAAATCATGTTTCTTACTCAAGTTCAAACCAATCCCTTTGAAAGATTAAAAATGACATTTATACTACTTTATAGAAGTAAGCATTGTCATTAGAAATTTGTTCAAATTCAATACAAATTCAAGGAACATAAAAGTGAACTCTTTTACTTTAGTTTTACTCACTGGTCCATCAGTAATATTACAATATAGTAAGGGCCAAGGGCTTACACAATCAAGTATTAAGAATAGAGTAACGAATGAACCTTTAATTAACTAAAACAATTTACCGTAGCCGCGATCGTGTATAGTACATTTGCAGGATGACGTATGTAAGAGCACTGGCTTTACCCAGTCCAATTCTTCCAGATAATGAATTATATACCTTCAGCCAAACCCGATGGTAGATATCTGTATAGGAACTAGAGATATTGGGTTTATTATGTTAAGCAAGCTGATCCATGCATTATTGTGTACTTAATAAACGTGGCTATTTCAAACTTAGCATATAATAAAATCCACTCAACACCATCTCTACATATACTTAGAGAAAGATTTACAAGAATTGGAAATGAAACTTTATCTTATCTTCGAATACTGGAGGTGTCTATCAACATTTCTTTTAATGTTTGTAATAGATTTGTAAATATAAGTCAATGACTCATTCAACGCACTGTATCCCACCGTTGAATAAATTAAGAGTCAATAGTCATCAATTGGACACCATCGAGACATTATATTTCACCGGATCCCTGTTGGAACAATTTAAAAAATTTACTGCAGTCAATAGTTATGAATTGGACAACACGGAGACATAATACAAAGCACCATATGTTTACACGTATATGGTATTTTGTCTTCTATCCGGTATGAGAAAATATTTATAAACTGTATGGATATCATTAGTTTCATTTCTTGTGAAGATTTAATAGTATAATATCATAGTGTAAAGTGGATTTAAAAGAGATAATACTGCTAAATGTATTCCTTAGAGTTTTGGCTCGTTTTACCATGTTTTACCCGTCCAAAAGCCAGCATGACTGTGTAGGATGCATTAACCTTCCAATTCTCTAAAGATCATGATGATTTGATCTGACGGAAGTTTAATGAACTGAAAATGTTTTAACTGAATAACTGGCTTTTCAAAGACAACCTTGTAAACTGGAAATAAATTCGACAAATATTTTAAATAATTAATTGGCGTTAAAGTATATAATTAAGCTTTGGTAATAATATATATTCTATAGGCGTTAAACTATATAATGACGCTTGGTACTACCAGTTTATAGCCTGTGTTACCAACCGAGCTAATGAAGACGGGCATACGCCATGCATACGGGGTCTCGGTTTGTCTTGTTTGTTCCATGTCAATGCCTGCGTCCTGTACCACTGACAAGGGGGAAACACTGGAAAATCACAGGGAACTTTCTCAATCAACACCAGGAATTAACGCCGGGCCATCCGGTTAGTGAGCCAGCGCCTTACCCACTGAGCCACCGTGGCCCCAAATCTAAGGATATCAATCAACTACTTTCGCTTGCTATCGACTGTTTATTGGTGTAAGCTATTCCTCATTGATTTCAATTGACACTATTACATTTAGCAAAGACATTGTGAAGACATAAACATTTTTGTTGGATGGATTTAGTAATTTCATGTTAATATATTGCTAACTCTTTTTTACAGGCCCGACGTAATCTGTTATGCGATGTGCTGAATGGTAGACCGTAAGATTTGCACAGAGTAGTTTCTGAACGACAATCACAGGTGGAACATTGATCTTCTTCACTTTTTATTCTAATATCAAGGGAAATCATCATTCGTGACACTGTCTGGACTATATATGAAAGTAGATGACATCAGCTAGGAAGTTAGCCTCAATTTATCAATCAAAAGAGCATCGCCGTACATCCATCTCTATGCTTAATCCTCTGAATCCTCTGAACAAGAACTGAATTGATATACATACATCTACGGTCTGGGGAGAGATCTTGAGAATGATATCGGTTGTCGGTGTGAGACGTTGTTTATGTATAAAACGTGGTGTTCTGGTTAAATTCCGTCGCGAGAGGTATTTCTTTTACAATTTAAATTGTCAATCCTGTTTTATCTTTGTTGGACATCTTGGCTGTCAAAGTCTCAACTGTTGTGAAAAGAGTAAGCATCAACGCATAGATAATACATACATAACCATAACGCATTGGCGGAAGAGTAACTACGACACACCTAAGTCCCCTGTGACACTGTTTGGTAGAACATAACCTAACAAAACAGTATTCGGTCTGATTAAAATGCAGAGCAATATTTCGTTGGGTTTTTTAGGCCCCTACTCCTTATGTCGTGAAGATTATTGAAACCAAATTTGGACTATAAATTACGAAAAGAAATATGATCAGTAGATCTGGATTCGCCGTTATACTATATTTTGTATTTTACAATTATTCTATATCACGACCAGAAATGATATAATCACCATTCAGAAATGTCAATCATACCAAGCTATTATCAACAATGTAATTTGTTGAATGATGGCAAATATTTTGATGATTATAAGTAGTGGAATCGGCCCTAATCCGTAAACAAAAAAAATATACTATGGACAAATTGCGCAATGATAACTGGAAATTCCAAAAGGAGGAAAGTCTTTACAATTTACCAACTACAGCTCTAGCACAAGAAAACATGATTTCACCCCCAACAAATTGCAAGAAAACGTTTTCATGCATTTTTGCATTTGTTTAGGTATACTTTATAAAATCCCAAAAGTTTACAAAGTTTTGTGCACCGGAAAGCGGTAAAATCTAAGATGGTCGACATTTGCCTAATCAATGTACAAGAAAACCCTAAACTGTTGGTTTAAGACCCTATAAATGTATTATGAACATATAAATTAATGCCTTTGGGGTCATTCGTTTATTTGAAGATATAGCCAGTAGTGTATATGAATCTGTAAATTAATGTTTTGGGGGGGACTTATTTCATTTGAAGATATATTCTGTGTTGTTCACTGGTTCCTTAAAGCGGTAAAATATGGCAAAATCCAAGATGGCTGACATTTGCCTAACGGTTGGGTTTTTAATTAAGACCCTATTAATGTATAATGGACAAATAAATTAATGCCTTTGGGGTCATTCGTTCATTTGAAGATATAGCCAGTAGTGTTACTGGTCCCTAAAATCCAAGATCGCTGATATTCGCCGAATCAATGTACACAAAAATGATAAATGTTTGGTTTAAGACCCTATAAGTGTATATGAATCTGTAAATTAATGTTTTGGGGGGACTTATTTCATTTGAAGATATATTCTGTGTTGTTCACTGGTTCCTTAAAGCGGTAAAATCTGGCAAACTCCAAGATGGCTGACATTTGCCTAACGGTTGGGTTTTTAATTAAGACCCTATTAATGTATAATGGACATATAAATTAATGCCTTTGGGGTCATTCGTTCATTTGAAGATATAGCCAGTAGTGTTACTGGTCCCTAAAATCCAAGATCGCTGATATTCGCCGAAACAATGTACACAAAAATGATAAATGTTTGGTTTAAGACCCTATAAGTGTATATGAATCTGTAAATTAATGTTTTGGGGGGACTTATTTCATTTGAAGATATATTCTGTGTTGTTCTGTGGAGCCCCTGATAGGGATGTATGTGGTGTTATCCTATCACTATGTCCATAAATATATAGTTTGTCTCTAAATATAGTTTGGTTCGGTGAAATAATCGCCCCCAACCGCCGCTAACGAGTTAAAGGGCCATATTGTGTGGCATGTTTGATTTTACTATCATCTCATCACCCCCACAACATAATAAATGTTTTCAGTGTATTCCTTGACCCCAGAAACATACGGTTAGACACCAAAATTGTCATCCTAGAATAAATACTATGGGAGCTATAGGGGATCATTTGATGTGGCGGCCGTCTTGGACGCCATCTTGAATTTTTCAAAACGCTAAAGGGTGACCGACGTTCACCCGGCAGATTCTAAAAGAGGGTATCCTAGGCTAATAAACTTTGTATACAATTTCCAGGTTCACTAGAAATATTGCGTTTGGCGACCGGACTACTAGTGTCTTATTGGCATTCATTGTGAGTGGGAGTAAAGAAATCCCCGAAAATGGTTCAAGAGAGCATGAAAACCATGGCATATAAAAGTTTGACCCTGACAACCTAATGCAGTGGTTCTCAACCTTTCTTTGCCAACGGCACACCTTGTGACGCATGAAAAAATGGCGGCATACCTGGCTAATTATATATATGAAAAATATTTGAATTTTGCAAAATAAAAACATGGCATGTCAGACGACATACAACCGTAGACAGAGACTAGTCATAGACTCAAACTAAATAAAGAAAAACACAGCTATATGAACTTATCAGTAGACACCAGTGAATACTCAATTGGGATAATGTGGTTTTTCTTAGTGTGCCGTTCAAAATTCCGCGGCACACTTAGGAAGATCTTGCGGCGGCAAAGCGGCACACTGGTTGAGAATCATTGACCTAATGCATGGGGTCAGTTTCATGTGTTTCTCTTAAAAATTGACGACTTTGAGTTTGTCTGAAGTTGTACCTTTTAAGGGAAAATGAATTAAAAACCCGAAACTTTACCCTCAAGATTTGTGGCTTTCCGGTATACCGACAACTACCAAAAACCACCAAAAAACCTTTTCTTGCAATTTTTTAGGGTTGAACCCCTTTTTTCATAAACTGACTGGACTAACTCAACTTTGCCTATATGGCAAGAAGCAGAATGAATCATTAAAAACTAGTATAAACATGTATACGGCCATGTTTTTTGTCATAGATAATGCCATTGTCTTTTAAACACATCACGATCGAGTTTTTGCGTGACAGGCTAGTTTAGAGGAAAAGTGGGATAATTGCTTTAAAACAGGCACCAGATACATCAATAGGAAATGAATTTTTGCTTTTTTGTGTTTCAGTTTAAGGATTTGCTGGAGGATACACTGACATTTAGTAACAAGGGAATATAACCTTGACGAGGAAAGAAGGGGTAACCTGACCTTGTCATGGATAACTTGAATTTGCTTGAATCCTATTGTTATTATTTACATAACCAAACATTTGATGTATATATCTATATGTTTAACCTCCTGAACATGATGCCAATTGATGTATGCACTTTCATTGTATAAGGAGAGGTCGTGAGAATGATATCGTATGTCTATGTAAGAGATGTGTACAGGTTTGTGTAATTACCAGTTTTATATTCATTCGTAGTTAACAGTCTTGTATTCAACCTAATATTCAGTATTATATTTTTATGTCATTTTCAAGAACACTGATATTTATTTTAACATTTCAGGGTGTGTGTTTTGTGTTATGTTTCACTGGATAATTGAAATCTACAGCCACGTCAATCTCCAAAATATATGAGAAGGTGCTCATGTGTGTTCTGGAAAAGGTGTGCATTCCTTTCATCGCTGAGCTAATTCGAATTTGAACTTCAGTTTCAGAACCATAGCTCTTTGGTAAACGGTAACGACATAATTATTTGAGATAACCTTGGACAGAAATGTGCGTAATAAACTATCAACATTTTCTCGTATGTTAATGTTCATTTCACAATTATTCTATATCTGAGTTTGCTGAGGAATACAATCACCATATTTGTATTAAACGGGTCTATATATCAGATATATTTTAAGTTATTGGTTGAATGGTACCATATCTGAATAGCGGTTAATATTTTAAGTTATTGGCTTAATGGTACCTTATCTGAATAGTGACTAATATTTTAACTTATTGGCTGAATGGTACCATATTTGAATAGTGGCTAATATCTCAATATTATTTACCGCTCTACTAGCACAAGAAAACTAAACTTGCTTGCATGATAAGGAACATAATAAATCCTCATAATCTATACAGGATATAATGTATTATGAAATGAAATGGAAATGAAATGAAATGGGGTTTAACGTCCTACTGTTCTGCTCCTAAACTGGGCTAATGATAATCATATATAGGGTTATGTGTGTTGTCATAAATAAAGTTATTGTCTTTTATACCTATTATGATTGAGTTTTTGCGTGACCGACTAGTCTCGAGGGAAATTTCTTTATACAGACAACCGATACATCAATATGGAATGTATTGGATACATATTTGACTTTTTCGGCTAAGATCTGAGCACATACTGACAAAAAAACAGTAATAAGAGATAGACTTGGTGGAAAACGGAGGAGCAGGCTGACCCAACAGAACTAGTTTAGGATAACTTGAATGGAATATTATTGTCATAATTTATGAAACCATATAATAGTTTATAGTCAGATAAATAAATATGTTTGTTACATGTAACACTAAAGACAATGCTCCAGTGATAAAACGTATAAGGCGTTCCGGGAAGATTAAGCATACCCTGTCCTGCACATGGCATCTTCAACAACTATTAGCGATATTATATGTTGATGCAAAAGTGACCCGCGTTTACTGCATACAGTACTGGGCCCTTATTCACGAAAACTTAAACTAAGTTACAACCGAAATTTTAAGAAATACTGCAACTTCATTGGATATATGCAAATTGATTGTACTGGTCAGCCAATCGAATTGCAGTATTTCTTAAAATTTCGATTGTATCTTACTTTAAGTTTTCGTGAATAAGGGCCCTGATTTCCCCATTACCTTTAATGTTATTGTCGTTGGGTTGAAGACTTTCTATTACCGATGCATGGTATTAATGATATAGAAAGTAAGATGATGTCTAAGCTAATTCCATGTTAATGTTCAGTCATATGTCTAATAATCTCAACACAAAATATATCAATAGGCTATCTGAACATTTCTATCCATGTCGGTTAAAAACATATAGCCGAGGTTCAAAGAATTTGTGTACTATGTAAACACTATAAAGAAATATTAGTCTATCTAAGCTTGTCTTTTGCATGTGAATATTAAATTGAATTACATCAAAATTAAATCAAAAATAGTGTTGAAATATATATATTCCAATAAGTTTTTGATGGATTCAAAACTAAAATAAAATATTTGTAAATATTCACGGGTTTTATCAATATTCTATTAAAACAAGATTTAAAGATTTAATGATTTACCTTAACCAGTAATTTAAAATTGCACTAAACAACACATAGATACGCTGTCGTCCTTGACACTTAATTCTCAATCACATTATGAATCAAATAATGTAATCATATTTACTATTGTGTAAGATGCATTACCTTTCCAAGATACACGTGGGGCCCTGACACTTAATTCTCATTCACATTATAAATCAAAAAACATACTTTAGTGTAATTTGCATTACCTTTCCAAGATACATGTGGTGCCCTGGCACTTAATTCTCAATCACATTATAAGTTAAATAACTTACTATATTTATAGTCTAAGTTGCATTACCTTTCCAAGATACACGTGGGGCCCTGGCACTTAATTCTCATTCACATTATAAGTTAAATAACTTACTATAGTGTAAGTTGCATTACCTTTCCAAGATACATGTGGAGCCCTGGCACTTAATTCCCAATCACATTATAAGTTAAATAACTTACTATAGTGTAAGTTGCATTACCTTTCCAAGATACATGTAGGGCCCTGGCACTTAATTCCTAATCACATTATAAGTTAAATAACTTACTATAGTGTAAATTGCATTACCTTTCCAAGATACACGCGGGGCACTGGCACTTAATTCTCATTCACATTATAAATAAAATAACTTACTCTAGTGTAAGTTGCATTACCTTTCCAAGATACATGTAGGGGCCTGGCACTTAATTCTTAATTACATTATAAATGAAACTTTCCAAGATGGTGATATTTAATTGAAAAGGTCTTATCTGAACAACTAGCTATTCAAGGAATTGTAAACTGGAAATAAATTCGACAAGGTTTTCAGATAAGCTTTAGTATTACCATACATTGTGAAAAACTTGTTAATCTATAGCTATTTGAATATCAACTGATTTTATTCACTATTAACTTGTCCATATGGATCAAGGTAAGCTATGCACCAGGAAATGTACACAACATTAGATTATTCTGAGCGAAGGGAATTCACGTTTTCATTGCTACCATTGTTACGATAATAACTAAAGTCACTATTATCAATCTTAAATTGAATTATTAAATGGTTATGGTGTTTCAATCCATTAAAAGTCGCGACCATTCGGTGTTCTAGAGAGTCGATTAAGGGCTTGGCATGTGAATAATTGTCTAATTTATAATTTATATAACTATCTGGGGTCAAAAGAAAGATCTGCAATAGACAGATTTAGCTCTTACATAATGTATCTTTAATTTCAAAAGACTCCGTTACATTTAGCAAAGATTTGTTAAGATATAACGTTGTTAATGGATAGATTTAATCGTTTCATATTAATACATTCCTCATAGTTTTAACGTCCCCATGTAATTGTTTATACCCTCGTTTGTTAAATTTCTAAGTAGCAAATGATGATCTGAACGATAGACAGTCGTTTCTGGATCACAATATTCAGGGAAATCACCATTCGTGACACTGTCTGGACTATACATGGAAATACATGACATCGGATAGAAAATTAGCGCCACTGTATCAATCAAAAGAGCATGGTCTTGTATTTAAAAATGAAAGGAAATGGGGTTTAACGTCCTACTGTTCTGCTCCTAAACTTGGCTAATGAAGACGGAGTCTTGTATTTAACCCATCTCCATGTTTAATAAGCCACTGAACATGAAGTGAATTAATGTATACATATTCATGTTAAACCTCCTGAACATGAATTGAATTTATATATACATTTCAATGTTTAAACCTCTAAATATAAAGTAGTGGATTGAAGGGGCTACACTGAATACGTCTATGATAACTTCAATTTGATAGAATATTATTGCTTTAATTTTTCACACTAAAAAATAAAGACAATTCTTATATACGCTAGTGATAAATTAACTATGTGGCCAAAACAAAATCCCATTCAAACAGAAGAAACTACGCAGAATGTCAACACCAAGAATATTCCACATAGTAGAAATCTACTACTACAACCCCACTGACCTAAGGTGCCCCTCTGTATTAAAGACAGTAACTAAAACTAAAGGATTGCGATTATTTTTATTTTATTTAATTTTACGAACATATTATTGCTAGAATGCAAGAGAAGTCAGAAAGAAAAGAATGTTCGCTGACCAATAAACAATTGTACCTGTTATTCATAGCCGTTCTCTCTTTTTGCTATGTTGTTTATTGAGAAGCAGGTTTCGGTTTACATTTTCTGCAACATTTAGGTGAATATTCAGGAATTTTAGGCGGAAGTAATGTTAAGGGGTGTGTAAGTGGTATGTACAGTTATTCCACTTATGGATTTCAAACAAGTTTTGGACAGTTCAGATCAATAAATTCCTAACATTATTATTATAGCCAATGGAAAAAACACAATAAAGCTGAATATTAGCCAGCTTAATTGCAACTCTCTATATCGTTTGTTTTGTGAGAAGCGTAATAGGTTAATGATATTAACAGCTAAGGGAGGTAATTATGCCAACGCCAATAAAGTTTATGTGATAAGAGATAAACCTGCATAATTATAATAAATACCTTGTCTTCATTCCAGTAACTCGCGTTGGCCTGTCATATAGTATGGAATTATGACAGCGTTACTCTATTATAATACTCATTAATATAGTGTGTTATATCCCCATTCAAACATCATTACTATGTTCTATAGTCATCATTAGTCATGTAAAAATCATATTTACCTACAAACTATGGTAGATCGTAAACAGTGTTTGACACGCTCAATAGTTCCGGATCTTCAACCGGCAACACTTTCTGTCACATTTAATGACCAAGGGTCATCTTTGGTCAGTTGTAGCTGCAATTAATCACTGATCGAAGGGGTTGTAATTAAATTACTCTTCATTATTTATAGTGGTTTACAGTAATGATTCCATCAGACAAGCCAATAACACCCAGTAGAGTTCAAAATTAGTAAAACCAATATATAATGGTAGCATGCGATGCATATCGTGTACTCAGCAATCCATGCACGGCTCGTCTACCATAGCTTTTAAGCATCTACATAATCAATCCATGGTTTGCTTTAGTAAGTCGGAATTTACCAATATAATAATGTAACTCATGAGGCTGAACTCCTCAATGAATAATTTGTAACACCCTTAGTGTGTAAAATCAAACTATAGTGATGGTTCTAGACTTAGATTTCAGAAGCAGCTTGGTAATAGTTAACCCCAGGGCGCTGGTTACTAGCTGCTTTACCGGATATTAAATATTCAATAATAATATCTGCTAAAATCTCAGTTGTAGAAATAGTATTAGCAACGTTCATGTTCTATCTGCAAAGGAATCCTGCACAGATTTATGAATGTTATAAATCCTTATCGACCACAAATCCCCCATATTCTATTGTTCCAGTTAATTTGATCATTTGTTCGATGTTTCTGATAATCTACTTTATCCCTGCTTCATATCATATCTCAACAACAAAACGAAATCAAGGATATCAAAAGTTGTCTCAATTCTCTGTTGTGAAGTAAACACACAGACGTTCCCAAAGCTAATTCCATTCCGCTTTTTGATACCCGAGATCAGTGAGTGTAGTTTGATATATACACCCAGGAATTAAGCTTGGTGGTCAGTCTAGGGTCAAGGTTTTTTGCATACCAATACACATATATCCTATTAACTGGCCCCGGTTAGTTAAGAACTCCATGATTTAACAAATACGGAATTTATCGTCAGTTGGTAATTAAAAGCCAGTATTTAGGTTAAGTAGGAATTCTGTCTGATATTGTAGAGCTGTGTTATTGAATTATTATTTCAGTATCAAAGTGAACGATATGCATTCACGCATACAGTAAACACAATCTGTGTTGAAATGAAGTGGCTGAGAATGATGAAATTAATGTGTTATATTCCAATGCTTGTACAATTGCTATTTTTAACTCAACTTTAAACTGATATGATTATATACAGTGACACCGAATTGGTTCGATTCAGATAGTGTGCAAAATATGAAACAAATCTGCTAATCCTTTGTTGAGATATCAGCGGTTTGATATTCAATTTAGGCGTCGTACATTGTTCTTGCTCGCGCAGAAAGCTTTGCTCTGTGTGGGCGAATACCAGGATTTACTCAAATTATACATGTTTGGGGTTACATAGAATTGCCCCAATTAGCTTTAAGTGACACCACTTCTCGTTTGTGGGTTCCACATAGCTAACAACTCGGTGTTGTATTCCTAATAATGATTTTGATATTATTCAAAATAAATAACATATATTTTCTTTTTGAAAAAAAAGATAATCCTTCGTTCAAACATTGTGCGAAAAGGTATTTTTGGAACAAAGCTTTAGAACATGACTATAATAAAAGCAACCGTTGTTAACTAATAGAAAAAAGTTGAAAGCGGCATTATGGAAGATTAGATAAAGAGCTGACAGTTAAAAAAAATAGACAATCAAAATGAATATGCTGAAAATTTAAGTCAAATTACTTCACACTGAGCCAAGAAAACCAAATTTCAAAAACACCATAGCCTCGATTACCATTGTTACCGTTGTTACAATAATAAACAAAGTCTCGATTATCCATTTTTACGGTTAATCATGAACAGCCGTTGAATCGCAGATCTTATACAAATCTGTTTAATATCGTACCCATCAGATGGCATCGAGAGTTGATTATGGTCTTTTCATGTTAATAAATGTCTAATTTAATAGTTTATTTAAGGCCTAAAAAAAGACCTACCATAGGCAGCTTTAGCTCTTGCATTATGTATGTTTAAATTATGTTTTGAACAAAAATAACTGAATGGTTCTGCACTCGACATGAACAATGACACATTTCCAGAAAAAATCGATTGTTTGTGATTTCTTAACTATGTTATTGTACTTTCACGACATGATTTTAAAAATGTTTGCTCGCGTTAAAATTAAAATGATTTCTATTAGTAACACGTGTAGCAAAAACCTACAGCATGTCTATCATTGCCTGTCATGTTTTTTCTACTGGAGGATGAGAGATCGTGATTGTTGATTAGACCTAGAGCTTTTTGTTAATCAAGATAAAAATTTGATGTATTACTTGCTGGAATTCGTGCTTTTAAATCGCTATTTAAAAATGTAAATAACTCAAATTGTGCATAAAGTTGTCTAATACATCACTTGGGTTGTTCTAAAGTAAACACAAATTGATCCTTAGCCTTTGAAAAAGCTGCAACCTTGCTGACACAATGATTACAGGAAGACCTACAAGTAATACATCATTGAATGTGAGCCTACTTAAAAAGTTAACAAAAATAAAAGAACTAAAATTGAATCTAAAAACAACATGATGTGTCGATCTGTTTGGTCTCTCTTCAAAGAGTTCTAACTTCTATCTCCAGGTCTTCAACACCGAACAGAGATTTGATCATTGCATATTTTTAGACAACACACATGCCTTTTAAGCTAAGCACATATTCAGATATTAAAACTATTATAAATTATGAAAATCCCCTGGATTATTAAAAAAAAATATAAATCACTAACATGACCGAGAATAAGCTCATTTAAATTAAGAATGCAAAAAGTAAGATATATCAAATATCGTGTATGTAATACAAGACAGAGGATGAAAATTAGTCTCTTGACATTCAGCAAAGCACATGCAGAAAGAAGAAAAAAATTTACATGAAGAAGCAACATTGAATAGATTGCAATATTCCCAGCAAATTAAAATATTTATGTTGAACAAACAAGTAGAACTATTAAAATACACAATGGCTTTTGCAAACTACTCGGTTTACTGTAGCTGTAACTTTGTTTGTTTTCTGTGCAGTTTATTATTCATCTAGGCATATCATCTAGTAAATAAATATTTTGTCTTATTCTTATATTATAATGTAGTCGTTTATTGTCGTACCTTCTGACCATCGTCCACAATTATTTCTAGAGACATTCGATTGCACTAACTTTCTAAAAATATATATACGCCTTATTGGCATTAGGGTTATTGTAGGATCCTATGGAAACTCTACTAACAAAGTCAACACCCGGTGTGTAACAAATTTATATTGATACATTGTTCTGCTTTGGTAAGATTAGTGATACGAAGAAGAATTTCTGAGAATTAAATTCTCTGGTCAATTTTGACGCAAGATACTGTTAGGTTACTCTTTCAAGAACACGTGTTACAACATACCTCTTAGGTAATATGTGTGGTGAATATGTTTTTAAGCTTCACGTAGCTACATAATTATATATTCAAATTTACATATTTAAAACGACACAATCTAGAAAGTCATGAATGATGTATCGACAGTACTTTATTTTCGTGAAAAACGCTGTTCAAATTACCGTAGCTGGTCTTCATTACCAAATGCAAACGAGGCGGACTTTATATCTATAGACTTTCACTCTGATGTAGATGTCGGTAATTCAAAGAAAATTGGCACATAGATACATGGCGAACACAAAAAATCACGAGAGGCCAATGTCGTGTCAATCGAATGCCGGTAACGTCTCACCCGTTTCTTCAGTCAATGCGTAATTGTGGCAATTATATAACGATTCATTTTTCAATACCAATAGTCACTGATATGATCTGCTTTATAATCTCGTTGACTTTTAGCATCGAAGAAATAATCTTCAGCTGTTGATTCTTTAAATACCAAATGCCAAATTATAAGGCTAGCTTCACCGTTGTTTCGTATTCAAGTCGATTAGACTTGATGAATAATGGAATGTTAAGGTGTTTGTTCACACGCCGTAGTTTCACACTTATCTTTTTTTAAAGCTTAACAATAACCAGTCTTACTTTACATATAGCCAGTAATATACCTGACCTTTTCTTCTAGAAGGTAGATAGTCTAATGTGAAAATATTCCTGTGGTATAACTGTCAAAAATCATTAAAATGTGTTAGGTTTGCATTAATACATATACATGCAGCATTACTAAAAATTCAAACATGTATTATGCTCTCTTTATAAATTTCGGGTTTGCTTAGTGGGTCAATCCCACAAGTTCTCACGCGAGAAAGATTGCTGCGAACTCAACTTCAATATTTGTTGTGATGCGTGACTCGATATATAAAACAGTTACGGGTTACTGATTTGATAATACTAGAATTAATTATTCGGATCTGAATTCAAGGCTTTCAGATGTTATATATTTTTTTCAAGTATCTGTTGTTTGTTTGTTAACTAAAGCAGTCGATTAAATAAATGAAACATTAAACTTACTAAAATTAACAACGAAGGTGGACAAAAACAAGCTGCCTACCTGATATAATATGGTGGTGGTTTCGTATCTGACATAGGTTTCACAATTATTGTGTGGGTATACTTATATACTCTTTCTTGAACACGTCTGCAATTAATTGTCTTTTATCAACGAATATTTGGGTAAACGTAAGTCTGCGTTAACAATATGAAAGTGAGAATAAGGTCTTGTTTTTATAATCCCCAACAGGAAAATGTGGGAAAATTCTGCTCGTCAAGTGAAGAGCAGTATTAGAATGTAAGTAGGTCCTAATAGGTCTGTCAGTTACCAGTTCGTCTCAGACAAGAGCATCATAATATTAAAGTGTTATGCTCTCAGTCTGTTTTCTTATGGTGACGCAAAATATGCCGTGTCAACGACATAATCAAGAAATTAGTCTGGTGACGCAAATAATAGGCGGGAGCAAGGTAAACATCTAAACGGACGTACTATGGACCAGGAACCGAGCTTGACATCATCGCCGCCATCTTGGAATCAAAGTCGGTGCGCAGTTGCGTAAGGAACACGCATACCAAGTTTCATGTCGATCGTACTTGAATTGGCGGAACTTTATAGACTTTTTTTTCGAAGAGCGTTGTCACCATGAAGGAGAATAACAAGAACAACAAGATGAGTTGGACAGTGATATTTGACTAAAATTGCCGAAGATGTATGTGTGCCGAAATAGTTCTTTCTGGAAGGAATCTGTCATGGAGTCAATGTAATAAGATTTTTATTAGTGTTTTTCTACACTACCCGAAGATTCAAAAACTTCTTTATAAAAGATCAGTGAAAAGGGTTAAAGGACAGGAGGCCACCAACTTGCTAAAACCCTACCGAAAATAAAAACAAGAATTGAAAAGAAAGCTAGTATTTAATTTAACTAAATGGGGATGTGATACCGGAATAAGTTCATATATCTAGTATCTATGAGACTACTTGGCATGTTACCGCAATTGTGTCAGATTCATGTGACAAAGGTCACTCACATTGTCCATGTCCAATTCAAAAGATACTATTAGCAGATAAACCAGATTACCACTGAATATCTGTATGAACAGGGCGTATTTTTGGCAAGAAGATTGTTGTCTGTGGTGAACACGTGTTATAAAAAAGAATTGTGATAACAGACAGAATTGGTTCTGTTTTAAATTGTCATGGGAGATCAGACTGTGTATTTTTGTTAAGAAGAACCTTACAACTATCATATATCTAGAATAATACGAATGTTATTTTTAATGTCAGTTGCCGTCAAATAAGCTTAATCCTCATCAAATATTTACTTTCCATGACCATGTAGACATGATGCTGTAAAAAGAAAGGGACTCCCCGGGGTTTATTAGTGTGATAAATCCCTCCGAGGAACAATCAATCTAGAAAGAATTGAGAATAAGGTGTCAAGAGTTTGTACAAAGCAAGTCTGGTTAGTTATTTAAGTATCGTTATTGAAGATAAAATTAGCACATTTGAAAACAACGAAATTACCAAGAAAGAACACTTCTTGGGTAATGGTCGAATCTAACTTTGGATTAGAAGGATATTATCTCTTTGCCCCATAACGAAGTCATCTTTATGGTCGATTTGGTCTAGAGTAAAACTGACATGTATTTTATATATGACCATATTTAAAATACGTCATGACTAACCGTGCACTGGCCTACTTAGAGTTAAGCATTTGTATGAGCTTAAGGGGGGGGGGGGCAAGTCTTTAACCATCCGTAGTCTTCGGCATTGCAAACACCACATATTGGTCAATTTAAATCAACATGGATGGTGTTGTCTTACCGTGAACAGATGGGCTTCTCATATCCAATATTTAAAACAAAATGGAAATTTTATAATTGGCACACGCTTTCGAACGCCATTTGTAACCGAGCGACTCTATGAACTAGGCTAAACATATACCATAGGAGAATACTACCGGTGTAAAATGGAATAACCAGTTGCAAAGTCTGCCATTCAATTTGAACTGATTCGAAATTA